CCCCCTCAAAAAAAAAAAAGGAAGCAAAATAAAACCCAACAAAAACAACAGAAAACAACAAAAAACACTTAGCTTGCTGTCACTTTCGGCCGCAATATATCGCCTTTTAAAACTTGGAATGGACATGTCTTGTTAATGGGAAAAACTATTTTTGTTGAGAATATGTCTGTGGGCTGTTCTCTCTGACATCGACTGGCATTTTTCCTGAATTTGTGTTCCTCGAAAAGTCTACTATTGTATTGAACTTAAGAGAATGATACAAAATCTCCCATGATGTGTACTCTAAGCTCTGGGGGTACGATCATGATTTAATGCAGGCAAGGGGAAACTACGACCCGCGGGCGAGATCCGGCGGCGAGCTATTTCAGTTGAACTCACGAGTCGAGCATCAATTAATCATGTGTTTGGCCCGCGGGGAGTTGATCGTTAATACGAACAAAACTGTCGTCTTGAAAATAACAATTCGGACTTACTAGTTTCTGGCCCAACTGGAAGCAAATGTCTTCGGTTGACAAACTCTATCGTGTCAGTTTTAGTTTCATAGTTGAATTTCTGGGTATTTTGAGTGATCTCGCCCTACTTATTTCTCCTGCTTGGGCCGCTAGATAGTTGGAATCGCGACTTGGCCATGCCTGATGTAATGCAAAACTGCAACCACCACAGTATACCTGGAATACCTGGAGGTGTCATCTCTGACTCAGAGGTTGACGTGCAATGACCCTCCATCCTTCTCGGTCGCGAGCTGGCTTTGCACATTCTGCTATACACAGGCTACGAGTACAAGTCCATGTTTTAATGTTGTCCATCTATGTTAGCGCGCGCACGCGCACATACTCATACACTCACACAGGCACACACACACATACAAACATAATACAATCATAGATATACATGCAAACAAACGCACACAAACACACACATACATACACACGCATACACATACACAAACACGCACGCACATGAACGTACACTGTTCACACCGTTCACGACGAACACACGACAACGGTGTTGAGGAAATTACCACTGCTTATTTTTGCTATTGTAGATTATTTTCTTGGTTAATAATGCTCAAGGCTATATTGTTGGGCAATACAGGAAACATGGCGTTGTGTTGATGATGATCCTAATTATGGTCACAGATCAAGAAGAAAACTGCGGATTTTTTAAAGACCTTTTTTTAACGGACTAAACGTCTAACTGAGAATGCTGATTTACAAATAAACGTGGATCATTAGTAATAATGACTGGATTTGTGTGTGTG